TGAGCACAGATATAGATCTCTTGCATTCAGTTGACCAGGTAGTTGTCGTCAAAATTTCTTGGCATAGATGAATTAAGTGCCTCCAGACAACTCTCCTGGTCTTTGGTCTTTAGTGTCTAATGTATCAAATTTCTTCATATGATCTCTAAATATAGGTGGGATATGGTCAAGGTCATCTTATGGATCTTGTGGAATAGTTTTAATTTTTTCAGCTTTAGCCTGAACTTGCACATGAACAATTGATGGTCTGTTCCACAGTCTGCTTCTGGCCTTGTTTTGGTTAATGATATGCACCTTTCCCACCATCTCTTTCCACAGATGTAGTCAATTAGATTACTATGTAGGGCATCTGGTGAGGCCCGTGTGTATGTTGTTGTTAAATGCCATTGAGTCAGTTCTGACTCATAGCGACCCTTTATAGGGTTTCCAAGGAGCGGCTGGAGAGTTTGAAGCATCAGTTTGTGGCTCAAACTGACCTTCCAGTCAAGTGCTTATCTTATAGCACCATACCAGAACTCCATGTGTATAACTGTCTTTTATTTTATTTCAAGTTTTTATTGTGAGGTTTACATGGGAGAACATCAGCTCCACACTCATCCCATTGCATCTCGTTTCACTGCAATGATCACAATCCCCTCTATGCATCATCAAATAACCCCAAAGGGTATAGATGTCTTTTATGTTGCTTAAAAACTATTTGCAATGAAGAAGTCATTAGTTTTGCAAAATTCTATCATATGATCTCCAGCATCAGTTCTATCACCAAGGCCATAGTTTTCAACTACTGATCCTTCCTCTGTTTCCAACCTTTGCATTCCAATTGCTAGTAATTATTAATATATCTTGATTGCATGTTTGATCGATTTCAGATGAAGAAGTTGATAGAATTCTTCACTTTCATCATCACTGGCTTTAGTGGTTGGTGCGCAAATTTGAATCATAGTTATTTTTAACTGGTCTTCCTTGTTGTTGTTGTTATTATGTGCCATGGAGTCAGTTCCAGCTGGTGAGCTTGAACTGCCGACCTTACAGTTCAAACGGCTTTGTGGTCTAGTGCATTAACCCATAGCGCCCCACCAGAGCTTCTTGTAGGCATATGGATATTATCCTATCACAGACAGCATTGTACTTGAAGATAGATCATGAGATGTTCTTTTTGATGATGAATGCAATGCAATTCCTCTTCTATCTGTCATTCCCAGCCTAGTAAACCATGTGACTGGCAGATTAAAAATGGCCATTACCAGTCTGTTTCAACTCAAATGGCTAGGATATCGATGCTTATGTGTTTCATTTTTGACAATTTCCAAATTTCCTAGAGTCATACTTCGTACAATTCATGTTCTGATTACTAATGGATGTTTACAGCTGCTTCTCTTCATTTTGACTTGTGCTTATCAGCAGATAAAGGTTCCGAAGGCTTTACTCCATTGTCAGCACAGTCAGCTCTATTTTGAGGAGGCAGCTCTTCCCCAGTCATATTTTGAGTGCCTTCTAACCTGAGTGTCTCATTTTCCTGCACTATATCTGACAATATTCTGGTGCTCTACATCATGCTTCAATATTCAATATTTTGGTGCTGACAGTGTTCCACTGCTATTCATAAGGTTTTCAGTGACTAAATATTCAGAAGTAGTCTGTGTCTCCTTCTTCCTAATCTGTACTTGTCTGGAAGCTCAGCTGAAACCTGTCTGCCATGGGTGAACCTGCTGGTGTTCAAAATACTCATGGCATAGATTCCAGAATCACAAAACTCACAAGCTACCACAGTACGACAATCTGACAGACTAGTGGTGGGTATATGGCTGAGGTGAGGCAAAAGAAAAGTTTGTAGGTTATGAGGAAGCAAATAAACTGACGAGGCACTGTGGGATACTGGAGTTACTGAAAATGATGAGTGGAGTTGGGTGGCGAAGAAGACAGTTGACCACGTGCCGACATATTCAACATACAAGGGAGACCTTGGTAGCTGTAATAAGGAAGCAATAAAGAAGGGGAGATGAGGAGGGTGATAAAGTCAGATGGTATAAACCTCGAAGGTACAGAGAATGATCTAAGAAGAGGAGAGATTAATAATTTGGAAACATCTGTGTGTAGCAAGAAGAACCTCAGGCAGCTTTCCTAATTTTAAACCATTTGGTGTTCCCGTGTTCTGTTCTAACAACTGCCTCTTAGTCTATGTACATGAGCACAATTAAGTGCTCTGGAATACTCATTTTCTGCAATGTTGCCCATAGTTCGTCATGATCCACACAATCAAAGGCCTTTGTGTAGTCAATAAAGCACAGGTAAACATCTTTCTGGTATTCTCTGCTTTCAACCAAGATCTATCTGACATCCGCAATGATATCCCTCATTCCACATCCTCTCCTGAATCCTGCTTGAACCTCTGTAAGTTCTGTCAATGTGTGGCTGTAGCCATTTCTGTATTATCTTTAGTAAAACTTTGCTTATGTGGAATATCAATGATATTGTCTGATGATTTCCGCATTCTATTGGGTTGCTTCTCTTTGGAATTGGCACAAATACAGATCTCTTACAGTGAGTTGGCCAGGTAGTTGTCTTCCAAATTTCTTGGCATACATAAGTGAGTGACTCCAGTGCCCCATCAGTTTGTTCAAAGATTTCAATTTGAATTACATCTATTCTAGGTGCCTTGTTCTTTGCCAATGCCTTCAAATGTACCATGGGATTTCTTCCTTCAGGATCTTTGGCTCTTGATCATATGCTACCTCTTGAAGTGGTTGATCATCAACCATTTCTTCTAGGTACAGTGATTATGTGTATTATTTCTATTTTCTTTTGATGCTTTTTCATTATTCAATAGTTTGCTGACAGAATCCTTCGACACCACAAGTCAAGCCTTGAATTTTTTCCTCAGTTCCCTGAGCTTGCGAAATGCTGAACTTGTTCTTCCCTTTTGGTTTTCTATCTCCAGTTCATTGTACATTTCATTATAATATTTGACTCTGTCTTCTCGAGTTGACCTTTGAAACAATCTGTTCAGCTCTTGTACCTCTTCACTTCTTACATTTGCTTTAGCATCTCTATTCTCGAGAGAAAGTTTCAGAGTCACTTCTGAAATTCATTTTGGTCCTTTTTTCTTGTCTTCTTAATGACCTTTTGCTTTCTTCCTGTATGATGTTCTTGATGTCATCCCACAACTCTTCTGGTCTTTGGTGTGTAATGCATCAAATCTGTTCTTGAGATGATTTTGAAATTCAGGTTGGATATAGTCAAGGTCTATTTTGTCTCTTGTGGACTTGTTTTAATTTTCTTCAGCTTTGGTCTGAATTTGCATATGAGCAATTGATGGTCTTTTCCATAGTCTGCCCCTATCCTTGTTTTGGCTGATGATACGAACTTTTTCACCATCTCTTTCCAAAGATGGAGTCAATTTGATTTCTGTGTATTCCGTCTGGTGAGGTCCACATATATAATTTTTTGTTGTTGTTTATGAAGGCATTAGCAATGAAGACATCATCAGTTCTGCAAAATTCGGCCATGTGATCTCCAGCACTGTTTCTATCACCAAAGCCATATTTTCCAATACTGATCCTTCTTGCTTCCAACCTTTGTATTCCAATCATCAATAATTATCAATACATCTTGATTGCATATTTGATTGATTTCAGACTGAAGAAACTGATAGAATTCTTAAATTTCAGCATCACTGGCTTTAGTGGTTGGTGTGTATATTTGAATCATAGTGGTATTAACTGGTCTTCCTTGTAAGCATATGTATATTATCCTATCACAGTGTTGTGCTTCATGACAGATCTTGGTATGTTCTTTTGATGATGAATGTGACACCATTCCTTTTTAATCTATCATTCCCAGCATAGTAAACCATGTGATTGTCAGATTCAAAATGGCCAATACCAGTCTATTTCAGCTCACTAGTGCCTTGTATTATTGATGTTTATACATTCAATTTCATTTTTGATAATTTCCAATGTTCCTAGATTCACACTTTGTATATTCCATGTTCCTATTTTTAATGGATGCTTACAGCTGTACTCTTCATTTTGTGCTGTGCCACATCAGCAAATGAAGGTCCTGAGGGCTTTACTCCATTCATGTCATCACAGTCAACTCTGCTTTGAGGAGGCAGCTCTTCCCCAGTCATATCGTGAGTGAAACATGCAAGCCACCACAGTACGACAGGAAGGAAGAGCATGAATGGAATGTGAGCTCCTACCTAGAAAAATGGTGACAGCAGGGACAGCGACAGAGGTGGTGGCATGGAGAGACAGAGCAGCTGAAGGATCCAGGCCCATGGACTGAGTAAGGCTGTGTACCTGCCGGCAGGAGGCTAATTACTAAAGTGTGCCCTTTGGACATTTAAAAGAGTATATAATTTTGCTTTGTTTTGTATGTATGCATTGGATATTTTTGTTTTGTTCATTTGTGATATATAAGATGCAAACGTGGAAACTATAGGGAGGAAGTAGGATAACTGTTGTTGTAGGGAGGAAATTGTAATCATTGAGATAAAACAAAGTGTATGATTTGTTGACTGTAAAGCTGATGATCTTGTCTGTAAACCTTCACTTAATTCACAATAAAAAGTTTTTAAAAAAGAGTATATGTTCCATACACAGGGACAAAGGACATAATGAAATTAGTGGTGACAGCAGAGAGAGGTGACAGAAGGCGGGTAGAAGACTTTGGAATCCCTTCTTTCTTTCCTCCCACCAAAGGTAATGAGGAGGCAAAAGGAGTGTAGTCTTATTCTTAGCAATAGGCTTTATGCTTTTCTACTGTCTGAAGATTTTTTAGATTTCTGTCCTATAAAACTGTGGGAATATAGGAATCCCTACAATATACCACTTACGTTTTCAAGTGGTAACTAACAATTCAATCTGTCGTTAGTTTTAGGATTTGATGTTAAATATCCTTGATGGGACAGTGGTTGTTCTTACCAGAAAAATGGGTTTTGAACTTTTGAATGTTTGCATGGCTTGAATTCTTAGATAAATGGTTATATGAAGGCAAACGTTCCCAGGAGCCATCTTCACATTTCTTCATGAACTGGTCAAAGAGGAACCTAATGTCCTTGTTCCAGCTGGGCTTGGGGAGAGCCTGGTCCTCCAGAGTGACTTCTTCAGAAGAAAATGACCTCTAAAAAAAAAGAGAGAAAGAGTAATGGGAGGTGCATCCTATTTCCCAACATCTCCTAGTTCCTAAGACTAGCTTGCTGTTTTCCCTTTTGCCAAAAGCTTATCATTTTGGAGGAAAAAGCATTTCAGGGGCCACCTGATCCACCTTTACTGGGAGAAATGGGAAACTGAGTTAGGGTAAATGACTTGTCTAGTTGGCACCCAAAGAGCTATTGGCAGAGCCTGGCTCCATGCTTTTTTCAAACATTAATCAAGCACACGTGAGCCAGACTCTAGAGAAAAAAAATGCTGGGCAGACATTGCCTTCTGCATAAAAAGTGCTCCTGTGGGGTATGAACAGGCGGCTAGAGCACAGGGGAGTGAGATCCAGGTCAGAGCGGGGGTTCAGGGAGGGGTTCTTTGATGCAAATCTTGATAGACAAGTAGGAATGAGTCCGTTGCAAAGAGTATTGCCGGTCAAGGAACACTGCATGCAAACACAAGGAGGCATGAAATATTCTGGAGAGGCCTTACTTTAACTGTAAGAAGTAAGTACAAATTGTATCTCCATTTTACAGAGGAAGAAACCAAGGCCTAAAGAAGTTCAACACGGCAATGGTTCAAGGGGAGGAACAGCCAGCCCCAGAGAAGCACGTTGTGCTAAGCTGGTTTGAATCTTATTATCTCCAGTGCTCTTGGAGAGATATTAAGCAGGGAGTGACATGATCAGATCAGGCCCTAGTATGAAAGAGTGGAATTGTTAAAGATTGGAGTCAGAGGCTATTGAGGTAACCCAGGTGAAAAATTATGAGAGCATGAAATCAGAACTTGATGACTTATTTGGATAAGAGGGAAGAGAACTACAGTGGTCAGATTTCTGAATTGTGCACCTGGGTGGATGACAGAGCCAACCAATTACTGAGAAAGAATATTAGAGAAAGAAGAGGAGGAGGTTCTGATGACAAGTGCTTTGATGTTATAGTAACCACAAGCTATTTCTTTATAGCACTCAGCATTGCTACCCCCAGGGCCCAGGGAGTAACTGGAACATTGCAAGGGGCCTGAAGAAGTCAGGAGATGACCTACTATGGAGAAGAAAAAGTGAATGCCAGCAGGCACAAGAAAAGAAAATCAGTCATCTGACCTCTGCAGAAATCTTGGAACATTTAAGATCACAGAAGCTACATGGTATTCTGATTCAGTGTACCTTCAACAGTTGGATTGCACACTTAGAATAAAACAGGTTGGACTTATAGCAATGGAAGACCCAGCCTTCTACTGATTCTGATCTTGGTACAATGGAAGAATAGAGAGGACCTGCCTGAATAAGTCTACGGAATTAAAAATTTAAATTTAAAAATGAAAACTTGGCTAGATGAAAGGAATTCCTGACATTGTGTAGCAGAACCAAAACCAAAACAAAACAAAACAAACACCAAAGAAATAACTCATTTGCTGAGCTGACGCCACTGCTCCACAGGGTTTCCTGGGCTGTAATCTTTATGACAAGGAGCTCTGGCAGCGTAGTGGTTATGAGTCGGGCTGCTAACCTCAAGGTCAGCAGTTGGAAACTACCAGCTGTTCCGTGGGAGAAAGATGAGGCTTTCTGCCCCCATAAAGATTTACAGCCTCAGAAACCCTGTGCAGGGTCGCTATGAGTCAGAACTGACTCCACGGCACACCGCCACCACCACCTCTAATCTTTATGGAGGCAGATCACCAGGTCTTTTTTTGCCATGGCACTGATGATGTGTTTAGACTATTATTAACCTTTTGGTTTGCAACGAAGTTTGTACCACCTAGGGACATGAGGAAAGGAAAACGTGAGTGGTTTCAAGACCACTGTCTCTAGGCTAGGACTTGTGCTTTTTTCCCCCTTATGGTGTTTGGAGTAGATCATCCTTTCGGCGCCCAGCACAGAAAATGTGGGAAAGAAAGAAACAAAAAACCTACCCATCATCTCGCCATCCTAATACAACCAAAGGCAAATTTTTGCTGTATTTCTTCTAAGTCTTTTTAAATGTAAATTTTCTTAATATTCTTGTAATCTCAATGAGAAATATAAATTGTGTCTTCTGCTTTTGCCCTTTAAGGTTATTTAGCATTCACTTTCTCCTGTCCTTAATTTCAGTTATTATATAAGAAAATAATCCAAAATAGAAAAACAAAAAAGTAGTATTCATGATGTTTCTATAAGCATTTTCCTAAAAGATTGAAAATGATTTAAAACATATAAGTTAAATGTTAAGTGAACTGTAGTACATTAGTTTAAAGAATATCATGGTTACTGTGATACCATAGACCTTGAATAACACCAGGAGTCCCATATGAAGTACCACTGCGATGCTTGAAGTGCTCCCAAGAAGCAAAGGAAAGCCATGGCATTGTTTGACTGCAGATTGAGTTCTGCAGTTGCTTGCCATTTCAAGATAACTGAATCCAGTGTAAAGACCATGTAAAACAAAGAAAAGGGAATTCTTGAAGGTGTCGCTACAGCTAACAATCCAGCAGGTGTGAAAATCTTGCACTTTTTACTACATACCTTTTTATCTTGTGTTAAAAATACAGCTTTTAAGTGGGTGAAGTATATAATACATATGAGTATTAACAAAAATATGTGTAAAGTGACTGTTTATGTTATTGGTAAAGTTATATGCATATTTTCCATTGTGTAAGGAGTCAGTGCCCCTAACCCCCTGCATTGTTCTAGGGTCAACTGTATACAAATTCTGGAAATGTCGTAACAGACACAATTAGTCACACATTAATATGTATTAACCAGTAAATATCAACTGAGAGGCAAAACAGGTGACTAGGGTTTGGAGTTGTGAATTTAACCCCTGTCATTTTCCAATGGGTCTCATTTTCAGTAGACAACTCCAGGATCTTTGAGTCCGAGAGTCCTTTTTCAGAGCAGCGAAACAGAGCTAACTGAAGACTTTTAGGAAATAGAATGACTTCTCCATCAAGACAAGCAATCAAGTTCCTTCAGGTCAAACTCCCTTCTAAGAGAGAAACTCAAAGGGAACACATGAGCAGGCATGTAAGCTTGCTGATGAACACACTGGTCTACTGGTGAGTGGAAGAGGGGGAAAGGCAGCAATGAAGAAATGGGCTGAGTTCAGCCACATTCCACAGACTCCAGTTGACCTGGAGATAAGCGAGAGGAGGAAGGGGTGGTTGGTCCAAAGTGTGGTGAGACCTGGGGACACCTGTGCCTAAGGACATAGCCACAGAGGGCAAGAGCTGAGAGTGAAGTACCCAGCTGATATGAAGTGATGGCAGATGCACAAGAACACCCAAAGTAGCAGACAGTACCCATTTGAACTAGCCTCGATGGTTTGATAAACAGAATACAACTAGCGGAAGATAAAAACAAAACGATTTTTGATTAAGGAAACAAGGGTAAAATGCTACAATTTGATGAACATGACCTATACTCATGGAGGTAATAACTCTAAATACCAACAGAGAGTGAAGGAATCTTCACATCAAGTATCAATGCTATCCCCTCTATACACAGGGTAGATAGGGACAGGCAACTAAGACACTGGTTACCTAAAATGAGGGGGCAATAAAGGCACAGAGTGACTGGCTTACAAGATTTCATGGGAGAGTTTAGTTTAATAGTGTGTGGGGGAAAAAGAGTCCCCACTGAATAGTTTTTATCTTGTCTAGATGGCTCTGGTTACAAGATATGGGGATAAGATTCTTATGTTTCAGTAGTGAGTAACTGTTATCATGACTAATTGCTACTGTCACAATTTTAAAGGTAGAGGTTTTGTAACAAAAACATGGGAGTAGTTAATATTACAGACCAGGATGATCACAAGCAAAATGTGAGACCTTATCCAGAGAAACAGTGACACCAGAGATGAAGGCAGACATGAAGACACGGAAAGAGGGAGCAGCTGAGGATTCTAGATTCATGGGAAGAGAGGGACTAAGAGATGGTGGCCAGGAGGCAGACTTGCAGAATGTGCCCTTGTTGTTGTTGTTGTCAGGTGCCATCGAGTCGGAACCGACTCATAGCGACCCCATGCACAGCAGAA